GAATTACCAGCACCAATCCACCGATAGAATTCGTTACAGGTCACTTCAGAAACGGCCGAGCCGTGCTACATTGCCTGCCCGAAGTGCCGTGGAATGACCGATGAAAGCACTGTAATAGAAGCACAGGAACTGATGAAAAGTCTTCCCGCATCATTCAATCCGCAATGCCCAGCTGAGACGGTTAGTTGAGCGGATTTTCTCTAGAATTGTAGCAGTATGCAATTTTTGATTGGCAATGGTATGGGGTATTTCAAGCAAGTTCTAGTATAAATTACTCTATCTTCGACTGCGTATAGTATACTACTTATCCCTGAGATGGAGTAGGCGTGGCATTGAACATGGCACAGAACGGGTTACTCGTGGGATATTTCAGTTTGAGACAACTGTCATCTTGTTCTGTGTTCGATGGAGACACGACCACAATTGTGTCAAAATGGAAACATCTCTCCAGAAGCACAACCACCGCCACGCTTGGTTGAAGAACGCAGCCACGCCTACCCCATGTCAGGGATTTGGAGTGATATCGTCGCAATCAGTCGGGGCGGTGTCACGAGCATAGAAAAGAGCTCGCCCGCGGCGTTTTCTAGTGGGTTTTTCCCTTTCTGAAACAAAAGAAAACGCAGCCGCTGACGAGCGTTCAACCCGGTCGTGACACCGCCCCACCGAAGCGAACTCAATCACCGGTTTAATATTGTCTAGTTCTCAGAGTATAACGGATAGGGTGAAATCTCGGTTTTTGTCGCTGAATGTTCAAAAAATTCTTGATCTGCTTATTTCAGTTAAAAGAACTGTTGGCTAAAGCCGAACGACTTCTTCATCCCAACAACGTCTATATCACAAGATTGCGGACCGCTCTGTTCCATATAACCGGATCGTTGGAACAGAATATGGGCTCGATGCACAAACAGATTTATGACAATTATAAATTGTAAGTAATTAATGATTTGACTTATGTATGTGACTTATGTGGTTTCGTTCTCAAAGGTTTCTACTTTTCAAAGACACATTCCACGCTGGTAATAAGGGCGGAGCGCCTTAAAATGCTTTGCCCTCTTCATTGGTAGGCTACACTTCTGAGACTTCAAAGTGAGCTGTGAACCAGTGAGAAAAGCGCAAATTTCTGAGTAGCTTCAATCATATGATCACTACAGAACGATCCACACATCAAAAGACGGAAAAAAACTTCTGTTCAACTCGGTGAATCCTGCTGGTGAATGGGTCGCTAACTGCAGTAGCGCGCCGGTTCGCTCGAAAGAGCCCGATACCCGGGCGCTGTCTTCCGAGCCGCCAGTGCCTGTGAGATTCCAGTATCACGCCAGTGCTACAACCTCCAAAAGTAAAGCGCAAGCGGAGGCTCAAGAAAACGGTGCCATATCACGGCGCAGGTTCGGTGAAGGGAGAAGCGGCCCGGGGGGGGGCATTTGCCACTTTTCTACTTCCAATCGAACCGTGTCGAATGATTCAGGAACAGTTTCCTAACCGTGATGGCTAAACGAGTTGTCCCGGATTCATACAAGAAATCCAGGAAGACCGAGAGTGAGAATGGCATAACAAGAACTACTTGAGGCAGCGAAAGTTCGAAACGCCGCCCCCCACTTCTGGCACGCAAATCATCTCGCACCCTCCATTTTGCGCGCACTAAAGGAAAGTCCAACCACTTCACAGATCTTTCCGTTAATCTCCAGCATGTAAAAGCTATCAAAGTGCGTAGCCACAGTTTCTTTAATAAGGTGTAAGAGACTTTGTGTGAGGTCCCGTGATAAAGAACGAGGTAAAACTCGCCAAATTCGACAATTTGAGTTTGTTTCCGTAAGATCTTTACAAAATCTCCCTGCCTGTCGCTACTGAGCACGTGCGTCTTGTCTCCACGTTCTGATTATGGTAGATTAAATATTCAAGTATTTTGAAGTTAATAGTACTACGAGTCATACAATCTGTTGCTAACTAGTAACCTCTCATGGTCAGTGCAAGTCATATCTGTGATTTTCAGATGCTTTCCCAAAGCTGATCGTCACGTTGGCTACCAACTACTTCACATAGTTAAGGATCTTATCGAGAAGGATGAACGGGAAGAGGTGAGAAGTGGCCATAGATTATGCAAACATTACGTTCATGAATTCTTTGAAATCTTTCATAAACTTTAAATATTTAAAGGCAGTTGGCACGATGGTTTCCTACTTAGCCTAAAATGCTAGTAGGGCGCTGTATAGTGGGAAATGGCGAAAGAACGGAGTGAAACGGTCAAAATCCGGCGAAGAAAAAGCCTCCGTTCTCAGTGACTTGTAAATCGATTTCGGACGAGTTTCCCGTAGGCATCTTACCAATCACCGCTACCGAAGATACGGCTGCATATGTGTACCCATGTATGCATGCAGCATCACGGCCGCTTCATACCAATCCCTTCGCTTCATAATTTGCTTAGCAAATGAATGAATACGAGCGTCAGGAACGGTCGTCCGTTTGTGGGCGGCGTGGCGGGCGTTTGGGACGTAAAGTTGTGGCTTGATAGGGCCCTTATAAGGGCACCTTCCTCGGGGAAACCGCTATGCAGCGCCTGCCCAGGGTCGCGGAATTCTATCCTGCCAGGAGTATTGATCCTAGTCGTCTTGGGGATTTATCGTGCCAACTGCCTTTAAAGTCCAGTCCACGCTAAAATTGTGGTGGTAGAAGGATCAGCCATAAACAGAAGGCTTAGTGACACCTCAATGAAGAAAATGCAAAGAGAGACTGCTGAAAATGGTCTAAATAAGTCTCTTCCTTGAAACTATCGGAACTGAAAAAGGCAAAATGCATGAAAGACTTTTTGGGAAAGTATAGCCAGAAGGGAAAAGTCAGTAAAAGCTTCAGCAGTGAGCGGCAAACCACGACAGTAGAAGATGTTGAGAGCGAAATAAAAGACCCATGCTAAGCGAGCAGTTTTGCTGACAGTTAGACCGAGTTCGTTGGACCTGTGGTATCGTTCATAACAAAGAGCTGAAAGGGGCGTCCTAGCGGAGTCTGCGTATGCCTGTACCGGCTGACGACTCAACTGAATAAAGAAAGCGCACGATTTGATGTTTCTTTCTTTTAGTAGTTAGTGAATGGGCAGATACACATAGCCTCGTAACTGCGCCTATTTCATCTACATTACCGAAAATCCGTTTATTCAGACGTATTTTTATTTGCAGGCGATGAGCTACGCGTTCGAGGCCATGAATATTTTCGAGGTGTGCTTTGGTCTCGATCATCCATACTACCTGCAAACACTGGCACTATGGACATTCCTTGAGAAGAATGCCGAGAAAAACCAAAGAAGAACTCATCGCCCTCACTCATTTCTCTGATAATCGCCCCGTTGACATTGTGAAATTGTTAGAGAAAGCGAATATGTTGCCATCGGCCGAGGAACTCCAACAGCCGAAGGGTTGACCTTTGATGGCTCAAAAATATTTGAATAAATATTTATATAGTTGTGTTGGAAGCGCCGCCGTCTGCGTCTGTGTTCGTTACGGAGGCTGGGACGTGCATTAGGCAGGGCACGCCATCGCGTTGTGATCGTTTCCTGAAAAACACGACCCCCTGGTTCTATCCTCAAATACGACCCCCTCCCATGCTACCTACCACTTTCCTAGATTTTCCCAACTTCCTACCACTTCTATTTTTCCCGAAAAATTTCCAGTTTTTCAGCCAAGAATTTTCCGTCGAGCGGGGAAGGAGTATATACCCAATGTGAAACGAGAAAATTTCTCAGATTTCCCTAACCTCCTCGGTTTCCCCCAAAATGGGGGAGGGGGG